TTGACATTGAGGTAGACCAAAAATATCTGGGATGCAGGTAGAGGAAGAGACAAGAGCAACTTGAGTCCTAAGTGTCACACGGTGAGAATGCTTATCTCCCAATACCGCAAGGTAAAGTCGCCAACAACTACGCATACGTTATGTTTTATCAGCGAGTGCACTAACGATATGATCACTAGCAGGTAATATCCAACATCCGACCCATAAGTACGCGTCACTAGTTTTCCGTGCTTGTTGGAGTAAGAAAGAGGGGAAGGCTTCCTTGAGACGTGGAACCTTAGGTTCCAAACATTTGGTCCATGAAAGTTGTATCAGAGCAAGACGGCTTGAAGGCAGGTTGTTGGTTGGGGAAGATCAATGGAGTGCAAGAACAAGAAATTGATCCAATGATTGTGTCGACAAACATGCTGAACATGATGAAAGATGATGTGGGAACGATAGATGTAAAGGGTAGTCGTTGCACGAATGTGCCTATGTACCTTTTAAGGTGTTTTGTGGAGAACACATTGCAGGGCACAATGATGAAGACTTTGTATTTGACTGTTTTCTTCAACCTGTGTTGTGGCACTGCTATAGGAGGCTATCTACTTGAGAAACTAACGCTTATGGGGACATATATTGAAGCTTCATGTCGGAGGTGGTATGTATGAGTTACTCTGGGTTGATGTCCGAGGGAGCACTGTGTGAGTGCCGGTCCATGAGGAGATGGTGGTGTTGTTAATTTTTCAGTGGAGGGATGTGTATTGATGCAAAACTCACGTCCTGCTACAAGGGCGTAAACCGATTCGAGTAGGGAGAATGTTGCATAGTGAGAATGCTTATCTACCCATTCGAATTGGCAAGGTCGCCAACAACTGGTTGTGTGATATGACCCATCCCGAATCACTCTAGTGGATCAAAAATATGATCTACGCCGATAATAGATGCTGGCTAGATGTCAAATTTATCACCAAAGTTGACTATGAGTTATTTCAAAAAATGTATCAAAATCAAATGTTATATAAAATATAATGAGATCGACCCAAATTATTTACTTCATGCTTTATTAATATGAATTATAACACTCAACATGTCTTGTGGCTCTCATTCCGAAATCATTAGGCTCTTACAGCTAAAAGGAATCAATTGCTGCCTGTAAGAAAATTCATCGAAAAATATATGAGTTAATAGTTCAGTGAATAGAAAAGTTCGAAAATAATTATACTTTTTCAATTTTACATTTTTATCGAAAATTGAATTTATATCATTTAATAATTCACAAGATGACATCATATAATTATAACCAAAAGTGAAATATTCACATAATGTCGTAAAATATCATCTCAAAATTATGATATAAACATCAGCTGATAACAACGCTATAATCTCATGACATCAAACGTACTGAAAAATCCACCAAAAATATACTCTCTCACTAAAATATGTAATCTGTCCTTCGGGCTAAGAACTTTCACCACAATCCTTTGGCTCCCTCCATGAATGAAAGTCTGTCTTAAAGACATCTCATAATCAATTCTAGAACACGACTAAGGCCCCTCAGTGAACTATATATATACGGCAAGACCCCTTCATCCCTGGTCCAAGAACCCTCAATGTAAAATAGAACACGACTAAGACCCCTCAGTAAACTAGAAAAGATTTATAATCATAGGTGCTTTTCTGGTCGATCTCAATATCACATACTTACATACCAAATCACAAACATATCATAAATAATTCTTGAAATTTCACATGGATCATAATAAAAGAAACTTTCATCGTAATCACATGATGAAGCAAATAATTCACATAATTTTACATACATTGATAATCTACTTAATTTATAATTATTTAAAAAATATTTATATTTTTCACTCACGGAACTATATTCGCAAAATCAACTCGGTTGGTGAGCTATCCCGATATCAGTATCGTCGCATGAAATATGATATAATTTTTAAATCAACTATTAACTATTTTAAATAATTTCACTAATTAAATAGGCGATACCCAAATTTAATCATTACATGTTTAGGCGATTTTTAAAGTTTCGTTAATCACTAAAACTAATTTTTCTTTCATTCAGCTCAATTTCATAGCTTATTATACTTAACCCTTTCAATAAAATTGAATTTAATTTAACAATCTAACAACTATAAAATTAAACATAACCTTTTAATAAGTAACTTTTTACTTATCTTTAACTTTAAAGAATTCAAGCCTAATAGTAGAAGAACTTATTTCTAAAATGTTGGCGAAAATTTTCTAATTTTTTTTTTCTTTCTTCCTCTTTCATCTTTCTCTTTTTCCCTCTTCTTCGTTTTCTTTTTGGGTGTGTGTTGTGTGTGTTTTTTTTATGTGAAAATTGATATGGATTGTATATATATACACATTTTGGGCATAGGTGGATTGATATAAATCAATCCACCGCCTACCATTTTCTTTGTCTTTTTTTTTTATTAATATGTTTGACTTTTCTTTTTCTTTTTTTTAATTAAATTAATGTATTACATTGTGTGGCCTATTTTATCGAATAATGTGAACGCTATAATCTCATGACATCAAACGTACTGAAAAATCCACCAAAAATATACTCTCTCACTAAAATATGTAATCTGTCCTTCGGGCTAAGAACTTTCACCACAATCCTTTGGCTCCCTCCATGAATGAAAGTCTGTCTTAAAGACATCTCATAATCAATTCTAGAACACGACTAAGGCCCCTCAGTGAACTATATATATACGGCAAGACCCCTTCATCCCTGGTCCAAGAACCCTCAATGTAAAATAGAACACGACTAAGACCCCTCAGTAAACTAGAAAAGATTTATAATCATAGGTGCTTTTCTGGTCGATCTCAATATCACATACTTACATACCAAATCACAAACATATCATAAATAATTCTTGAAATTTCACATGGATCATAATAAAAGAAACTTTCATCGTAATCACATGATGAAGCAAATAATTCACATAATTTTACATACATTGATAATCTACTTAATTTATAATTATTTAAAAAATATTTATATTTTTCACTCACGGAACTATATTCGCAAAATCAACTCGGTTGGTGAGCTATCCCGATATCAGTATCGTCGCATGAAATATGATATAATTTTTAAATCAACTATTAACTATTTTAAATAATTTCACTAATTAAATAGGCGATACCCAAATTTAATCATTACATGTTTAGGCGATTTTTAAAGTTTCGTTAATCACTAAAACTAATTTTTCTTTCATTCAGCTCAATTTCATAGCTTATTATACTTAACCCTTTCAATAAAATTGAATTTAATTTAACAATCTAACAACTATAAAATTAAACATAACCTTTTAATAAGTAACTTTTTACTTATCTTTAACTTTAAAGAATTCAAGCCTAATAGTAGAAGAACTTATTTCTAAAATGTTGGCGAAAATTTTCTAATTTTTTTTTTCTTTCTTCCTCTTTCATCTTTCTCTTTTTCCCTCTTCTTCGTTTTCTTTTTGGGTGTGTGTTGTCTGTGTTTTTTTTATGTGAAAATTGATATGGATTGTATATATATACACATTTTGGGCATAGGTGGATTGATATAAATCAATCCACCGCCTACCATTTTCTTTGTCTTTTTTTTTTATTAATATGTTTGACTTTTCTTTTTCTTTTTTTTAATTAAATTAATGTATTACATTGTGTGGCCTATTTTATCGAATAATGTGCTAATGATAAGATCATATGCTGGTAATACCTAACATCTTACCCATAAGAGTGTGTGTGTGGCAGTTGCTTGGCTTGACGGTCTAAGAATGAGAGGAAGGCTACCTTAGAGGCGTAGAACCTAGGGAGCCAAACCTACGGTCCATGAAACTAAGGCTGCACTGGAAGAAGACCTCTCCTTACCTCCCTTTGAAAACTCAAACAGAAAAGCATATATAATTCATACCATTAGTCCATTTCAAAATTTTGTGTGCATATCCCATGTTAATGTAATTTCTATAATTCAATCCAGAATTTCATAGTTGATCATTGTAGATTTTGCATTTTGTAAGATAGTTGTTCAAAGAGACAGACTAGATGTCTAAAAACTATGACAATTGGGAGAGACTAGTGGAAGTCATGTTGTGGAGAGAACAGCTTCGACATCTTGCTTTAGCCAGTTTGAGGGAATAAAGTTTCAGCTCCATGTCTTTAAGTTTCAGAGTCGGACTAGGATTTCCAATTCATGAACAGAATCTTCAGCTTGAAGCTTATTCTAGTACAGAAATTGACCTGTAAATCCTGTGGCATATGCAAACCAAGAAAGATTTGTATTTAAGCTTTGTTACTCTCCCATTTTACTTAATGGAGGGAAATATGGTAATTATCTATGTCCAAAAATGATCTTATACTATTTCATGCTGCTAGTATTGTTATTGCAAAATGAAACAAGCGAGGACTGATCACTAGCATTTATATAATTATTAAAATTCAATTGGAATAATAATTTCATTTCACTATATTTTTATACTAATAACAACAAAACTCAATCATTAATCTTGAATTATTATTTCTAAAATTTATTAAAATTTATTTTTAATATTAATTTCATCTCACTATGGATTGGCCTTTCCATCTATTAAAATTTATTTTTTTATATTTTTTTTTATTTAGTCAAAATTTCAATTGACGAATTAGATTTATTAAATAAAGGGACTGAAATAGATTTACAATTTTTTCTTAGATAATTTTAGGGTTTTGCTCCTGAAATTGTGTGTGTTATTTCTAAATCGAGGTGAAATTGACTGTAACTAAAATTTCTCTTCAATGTGTAGAATAGAGATCAAAGAACTCCAACTTTATCATTTATGCATTCCAGACCAAGTGACGGGGTTCAAGAGAAAGCATTATTTGATTTACTATGATAATGTTTTACTTAATTTGGGTCAAAGTTCTAATTTGTCAGTACTTTAGTGACTAAAGATGCAATTTCATTTAGAGAGGGTGAAAATGAAGTCTGGACTTACCAATAAAATTATGGCAACAACAGGGGTCTTCACAAATGCTTTTTCCAATCGTGTTCAGCATTTAACTGGCTTCACCTTTGACGGCGGGACCAAGGCTTCAATCCTTTCTACGCGTCTGAATTACAATCAGCACACCAAATCAATTCAGATATTAAAGTTTCAATAATTCAAGTGGGATTCTCTTATTCGAGATTTTGTAGCTAGATGTCTAATAACTATGATAACTGGGAAAGACTTGTGGAAGTTGTTCTCCGTAGAGAACAATTCAAGCAACTAGCTTTAATTTCCTCGAGCGAACCAAGTTTCAGCTCCACATCCTCTAGTACATCTGGGTGGAATACTCCGATTTGTGATGATCTGAATGTTCAACTGGCATCTTCTTCAAGTACCGTAAATGAAACGGATTGGGAAAGATTGTTGCCACCTGATTATGAGGACATCATCTCCAGATCTGTGAATCCTGTGGACTATGCAACCAAGGAAGATCTGTATACGAGTCTTTGTAGCTCTCCTATTTTACTTGATGGAGGCAAAATGGTACGTGTATCCTTAATTATTATGTTTATATGAAAATCATAATCTGACAATTTTTCCCCTTTATAAGGCTTCTTGCTTATATCTGAATTTATTAGTTAATTACAACATAAAATGCTAAGACAGAGCTGTATTGTCATTATTTCATTATCATCATTTTGTCAGAGGCTCGTCGTATATGATATTCATGAACTTTAATTCAGAGTCTGTGAGAGAAAATATATAAACAAAATGAATTTTGGTGTTTGTCATAATTTACTAGTATAATGACTAATTGAAACTTGCAGAGCTTTCATATTGATAAAACAACTGGGAAGAAATGTTATATGATTGGACCAGTGGAAATTTCTAGTGGCAGCATCCTCATGGTCGTTGTTATGTTATATGGCTGGAGATTGACACCACACGCAGACTCCAGGTATCATTCATCATATCTTTTTGCTATTAAACTTAATTTGGAAATTGCATTTTGATAAGGGGAATATCAATTATATGATGTGCAGATTCTCAACGGTGGTAGAACAAAGACATGTTTTGCACCTCGACATCTGGGGGAAGATAGAAACACAAATGTTGTCCCCGAAGACTCATTATGCAGCTTATCTCGTATATAGATTAGATATGTCTTACATGGAAAATCGACCGGCTAAAGGGATTATCAAGTTTGAAAATCTTGATGAAGATCATGATGCAGAAAGGAGAGCTACTGCTTTGCACCTTCAACCAGGGTTGGTGGGTAAAAGTCTGCAGACTGCAGTGAGTAGACCAGACGGATGGATGGAAGTACAATTGGGAATGTTTTATAATGATGTAGGAGACAATGGCCCGGTGGAGGCACGGCTGTTGGGTTCCTTTGAGCGATTGATTAATTACCTCGTTATTGAAGGAATTGAGTTTCGGCCTGCTTCAATTGCGGAGAAAGAGCTCGGTGCAGAAGAAAATGTGAGAAACCGAAGAAATGGGATCTTTTCAAAATTAAGGATTTCTGGATAATATAGAAATAAATTTTCTGGCTTGCTCTGTTTTACTTTCCTTGTCTCTTCTTTGACATGCATGTGTAATAACTGAGAAAAATAAAGAGTTGTTGCAAAGAAACAAGTGAAGATTTTCAAGCAAAGTATTACGTAAATATTATAGGGTTTGAATTTATGTTGATCTGAAACAGGAAAAGAATGATGACTTTCGAGCCATACCACTACATAAATATTCCAATCAAATCATGATTGATAGAATAGAATGTATGACGTTACTCAATGTTAAAAGGAAATAGTTAAAATAATCCCTATTATATAGTTCAATTTTTGCTCTAATTCTGACCAAATATGCTCACTAGGCACACTCAAGGGAAAGAGGGGGAAAAAAAGGAGTTAAGGCTATTTACAGTTGCTTACTGTCATAGCCGCCCTACGTGGCTGGCAAACATGTGACGGTTAGTGATTTGATGCATTAAATCACCAAACGCCGCATAATATTAGCAAATATTCATGCAGCAATATTCAATAAACATTAAGTGGAAACTTTGTGTAAAATTTAGATTTGAGTTTAGAATTAATTGGTGACTTGATATTCGAGACAATATAGATACACAAATGTTGTCCTAATGAATGAAATAGGGAATAAACAACATGACGATCACAAGTCCATTGATTTCATGAATACCGAGAAAGGTTCAAGGTTGTAGAATAAATCTCACATTGCACAAAGTTTCATTCATATAAAACCAATTCTCACTATAATTGTGCTTCTAATAAGCACTCTAAACCTAATTTCCTAACTTAACTCCATCTTCATCACGTACTGATCTCAACACGTCCCCAAAGACTTATCATGCTGCTTATCAGTAAATGTGATTATCAGATTTGTTAGTTATGAAACAAATGGCAATGCCAAATAGCGACAAGTTCAAGTTGACACCTTATTTTATAGATTTAGCAAAAAATAAATAAATAAATAAATAAATAAATAAATAACTTTTGTGCCTGCATTATGAAGAGCATCAGTTTACAGACTCAAAGCCTAAGCTATTTAGATACACATAATTACATATCACTCGCTAGAATTCGAGCTTTTCTCCCGTTGGTATATACCCACGTCCAGTTTGATCATACCATTGATAATGGATCTAACAAAATCACAGAAAATATAGATTGAATTTCCCAATTTAGAAGGGAAGAAAGAGCAGATACAAAATAAATTTATCTCATATGACTGTAGTTCAGACCTCTTGGAAGTTCAAATTAGGGCAGTAAGCAAAAATCACAAAACCGGAAAATCGAACCGAAACCGCATTTTAGAAACCGTTGGTTTGGTGCCATGTGGACCCGGTCAACGAAATGGTTTTGACCCAAACCAAATCGGTCAAAATGGTTTGGTTTAGGTTTGAGAATTTTAATTGCGGTTTAAAACCAAATCGGACCGGCGAAAAAATATATAAAAATAAAAAAAATGAAAAAATGAAATTTTTTGAAAATTCATCCAAATATGTAAAATTCAATAGTTTTGTCATTTGTGGGTATTTTTGTCAATTCCTAATTTTCTAATACAGATATATTATT